GTAATTTCGGAGTATTTAAATACCACAAAGATCACCACCTCCCAAGAGCACTAGAGCAAGTGAGGGGTCACTTAGACGTTAAAGTGACTTCCAGTTGCTGTTGCTGGAAGCAACCAAGCAACCAAGCAATCTTAAGCAACTGGAAGGTTGCTTAAGAGCAACCTTCCAGTTGCTGGAAGGCTTCTGTGCTGGCTAGGGTTCGAGTCTCCTGGTGGGAAAGTGTTCTAAAGTTGTGTACTTGACTCTCGTGTTTAGGAGAGTTGTGCCTTAAGCATAGACACTGTGTCTTCCCATATTAACAGGGACTTGATGAAATTAACGTCTAAGTGACCCCTCACTTGCTCTAGTGCTCTTGGGAGGTGGTGATCTTTGTGGTATTTAAATACTCCGAAATTACCATCTCTTTTAAGGGTCTGAGCAGGTGGTGGAGAGGGTTAAGGCGTACCTGTTATGCCAGTTGCTGGAAGGCTTCTGTGCTGGCTAGGGTTCGAGTCTCCTGGTGGGAAAGTGTTCTAAAGTTGTGTACTTGACTCTCGTGTTTAGGAGAGTTGTGCCATATCTATATATATATATATATATATATATATATATATATATATATATATATATATATATATATATATATATATATATATATGCGAACAAGCCTGAATGGTCCCCAGGACATATGCAACTGAAAACTCACACCCCAGAAGTGACTCGAACCCATACTCCCAGAAGCAACGCATCTGGTATGTACAAGACGCCTTAATCCACTTGACCATCACGACCGGACATAATGAGGTGATAGCCGAGGCTATTTGAACCACCCCACCGCCGGCACTCGGATAGTTATCTTGGGCATAGCATTTTACCAAATCACCTCATTCTTTGGGGCAACACGTGAGGAACACAAATGCGAACAAGCCTGAATGGTCCCCAGGACATATGCAACTGAAAACTCACACCCCAGAAGTGACTCGAACCCATACTCCCAGAAGCAACGCATCTGGTATGTACAAGACGCCTTAATCCACTTGACCATCACGACCGGACATAATGAGGTGATAGCCGAGGCTATTTGAACCACCCCACCGCCGGCACTCGGATAGTTATCTTGGGCATAGCATTTTACCAAATCACCTCATTCTTTGGGGCAACACGTGAGGAACACAAATGCGAACAAGCCTGAATGGTCCCCAGGACATATGCAACTGAAAACTCACACCCCAGAAGTGACTCGAACCCATACTCCCAGAAGCAACGCATCTGGTATGTACAAGACGCCTTAATCCACTTGACCATATATATATATATATATATATATATATATATATATATATATATATTCATGTCGACTTAGACCTTTTGTTCGATGGTACGCATGTAGAAGTTCGCAAATAGGACCCCTAGGGGAGAACCCATAGCGACCCCATCTACTTACTTATACATGTGCCCATCCGGGCTCAAGAATGGTGCCTCTTTAGTACAAGCTTGGAGTACTTTTCTTTTCCAGGTAGGTAGTTTCCTAAGGAAACTACTCCAAGCTTGTACTAAAGAGGCACCCTTCTTGAGCCCGGATGGGCACATGTATAAGCAAGTAGATGGGGTCGCCATGGGTTCTCCTCTAGGTGTCCTATTTGCGAACTTCTACATGGGTACCATCGTACAAAAGGTCTTAGTCGACATGAACTTGAAACCGGCAATATACTGCAGGTATGTTGACGACATTTTTACACAGGTACCTTAAGTCAGACATCTGCAGGAGCTGAAGGAGGCATTTGAGCGGAATTTTGTGTTGAGTTTCACTTACGAGATGGAGAAGGATGGGAAGCTGCCCTTTCTAGATGTAACAGTCACGGAAAGGAGCGGAGGTTTCCACACTGCAGTCTACACTAAGGAAACAAACATAGGAATGTGCCTCAATGCCAACAGTGACTGCCCAGACAGGTACGAGAGGAGTGTCGTTAACGCTTATTTCAACCGTGCTCTCAGCCACAGCTCAGGATGGAAGCAAGTCGATGAAGAACTCTGTAGGGTAAGGCAGGTCCTAGTCAACAACGGCTTCTCCATTGGTTTCATTGAAGACATCATAAGAAGGAAGGTGAAACGCCATGCAACCTCTGAAGAGACAACTAACACAACACCTGTACCCCCTATTAGACTATTTTACAGGAACTTCTTTTCCACAGCTCAAAAAGCGGAGGAAAGGGTCCTGAAAGATATTGTTAATAGAAACGTTATCCCTAAAGACAACAATCAGAAGATACAATTGACGATCTACTATAAAACCAAGAAAACGGCCAACCTACTCATGAGAAACTCTCCAGACACAAAGCAGAACGCTTTAAAAGAGACCAATGTCGTCTATGCCTTCAAATGCCCACTTGGGGACTGTAAGCCTCAAAGAATTCAGTATATAGGCAGGACAACAGCATCTCTTTCCAGGCGATTAACGATGCATAAGCAACAGGGCTCCATTAGGGAACATATAATCTCTTCCCACAAACAAACCATCACCAGAGAAATCTTAGCAAACAACACAGAAATCATCGATAGATACAGCGATAGCAGGCGGCTTGGCGTCTGCGAGGCACTACACATCAAGAAGTCAACATCAGCAATCAACAGCCAATTAATGCACAACTATATTCTACCCACTTCAAGACTCCGCTCCAATATAGAACCATCAAGAAATATGGACCAATAGGCTTTCTACAATTACTTCCATTCAATACCCATTGTTTCGTGTTCTGTCTTGTGTTTGAATTTAATACCCATTCAATACCCATTGTTGAAAGTTTGTTTTCACCTCATCCACCTCACCCAAATGTAGATATAAAATCGAAGATATTTAAGCTCTATTCAGTTTCAGTTGTGTGTTTGTAAACTAAAGTCTTTGAAAATGTAATAAGTTTTACGAAACGCGCTCAAGTGTCGCGTCAGACTAGAAATAAAAATGAATTTTGGAGAATTGATCTTTGAATTACCATCAACAGTGAAAAGAAACGTAAGAAAGATCGAGAAAATTCGTGTTAGAATTATTAATCTTACTTTTTCGGTCATATTTAATAATATATGTCTACAGGAAAGACTGCTACCAAAAATATATATATATATATATATATATATATATATATATATATATATATATATATATATATATATATATATATATATATATATATATATATATATATAATATATATATATATATATATATATATATATATATATATATATATATATATATATATATATATATATATATATATATATATATATATATATATATATATATATATATATATATATATATATATATATATATATATATATATATATATATATATATATATATATATATATATATGTGTGTGTATATTGCACTGATTATGGTAATAGTCTAGTTCTCTAGACTAGACTATCCCGGTTCATAGAATCATACTTATGTAATCTGTGCTTTTAATTAGTGAATATTTAATTTCTATTTTTTTTTTATTTTACTTCAATATTGAATTATGATTTTAAGTGGACTGTATTTTAAATTCAGCCTGCCAGTTTTACCTGCACATAGTTAGGAGTAAATGACTACAGCTTAACCCACAATTGGTGGTGATAATAATAAGTTATAAACATTTACCATTTGTTTAAGACAAATCCAATGCTTACTTAGTTTGGATCAAGCTCCTTTGCATAACCGCCTAACTCCTCTTAACAGTTAATGGCCAAGAACATGATAACGACTATAGTTAGATGGATATTCAGCTCTTCCCTTTGTTGTAGAGGTCACTATTACACTATGGTCACTATAAGAGGGTCACTAAAAACAGCTCAGAGGTAACATTAGGTCATTAAAAAGTGTGCTGGACAATAACACTTACTACCCTCTCGGTTACACTTAATAACAACTTAAACCACCCACCCACACACACATCACGTTTCGCTGGACACGTGGTCCTGTGGTCCAGGGTTCGATCCCGGGCGCCGGCGAGAAACGGTGGGCAGAGTTTCTTTCACGCTATGCCCCTGTTACCTAGCAGTAAATAGGTACCTGGGAGTTAGTCAGCTGTCACGGGTTGCTTCCTGGGGTGTGTGTGTGTGGTGTGGGAAAAAAAGTAGTAATATAAACAATTGATTGACAGTTGAGTGGCGGGCCGAAAGAGCAGAGCTCAACCTCCGCAAGCACAACTAGGTGAACACACACACACACACACACACACACACACACACACACACACAATCACTCCAGCTGGCTAATAACCAGACACACGCCTCGTAATCTTTAACAAACAGTTAAACAGTTTGACATCGTCTAATTATATCAACAAAACCTCGATATATTTTACAGTCTGACTTGTATACATTTATGTATACATGTATACATACACTGACGTAATAATAACAAAATATACTTACCTGGTTGATGGGGTTCCAGGAGTTCTTCTACTCCCCAAGCCCGGCCCGAGGCCAGGCTTGACTTGTGAGAGTTTGGTCCACCAGGCTGTTGCTTGGAGCGGCCCGCAGGCCCACATACCCACCACAGCCCGGTTGGTCTTTGTCTACTGGGTCTACTGGGTCACTTAAACATTATGTTTATAAATGAAGTCAATTATAGATCTATTTACAAAGTTAGGACAAAGTGTATAATTATATTATGCTGTATAAACTGGCTCATAACAACCATCTGTAAAAATGCGATTGGAATCAATATAGTTGAGTTTGTCTAAACTTCAAAATCTAGAACAAGGCCCTTTGAATCAAGCAGTGAAAGCAAACGCGAAATGATATCCTAAGGTTATCTTTTGCAAGCAAAGTTGCAGACGGTTGGAACACTTTAAGTGAGAAGGTGGTGGGTGCCAAAACCATCAGTAGTTTCAGAGCGACATATAAAGACTAGACACCAAAGTCGGAGCTCTTATCCTGTATCTAAAATATAGATATTACGCTTAGGCAATTACAGACACACACACAATCCTTTATTTATTACGAGAGTCAGTAGAGGGTACGACCTCCCACAGGGACGTGTATGAAACAGTGCAGAAGGAGAGCAAGGAGATCTCCAGGTTCCAGATGCTGGTGCTGGTGAGAGAGTACGACCAGAGGTCCGCTCTCATCCCGCCATTCGTCGTCATTCAACACCTGTTCCGCATCTTCCAGAAGATACGGAAGCCTCAGATACAACCTGAAACCTGTGAGTGTTGATTTAGTCTTGTTTCTGTTAAGTTTGGTCTGTTGTGAGCGTTGATTGTGTCGTGTTCCTGTTAAGTTACTTCTGTTGTGAGCGTTGATTGTGTCGTGTTCCTGTTAAGTTACTTCTGTTGTGAGCGTTGATTGTGTCGTGTTCCTGTTAAGTTACTTCTGTTGTGAGCGTTGATTGTGTCGTGTTCCTGTTAAGTTACTTCTGTTGTGAGCGTTGATTGTGTTGTATTTTTCTTAAGTTATGTCAATTAATTTGCATTCCGATTAGTGTTATTAATGAAGAAAATATATTGATTAGTATTTAGTTAAGTTGAATTGTGGGCACGCATTGGTTGGGATGTGCTATGGATAATGTAGAGGTTAGTGTTTGTAGTGGTTAATATTGTGATTGGTGTACATATCTAGTTGCACTCACCTAGTTGTGCTTGCGAGGGTTGAGTGTTGGCTCTTTGGTCCCGCCTCTCAACTGTCAATCAACTGAAGTACAGATGCCTGAGCCTACTGGGCTCTATCATATCTACATTTGAAACTGTGTATGTAGTCAGCCTCCACCACATCACTGTTTAATGCATTCCATCTGTTAACTACTCTGACACTAAAAAAAATCTTACTACTTGCTCATTTGGGTACTAAGTTTCCACCTGTGTCCCACTGTTCGTGTTCCACCCATTCTAAATAGTTTGTTTTTGTCCACCCTGTCAATTTCTTTGATAATTTTGTAGGTGGTTGTCATGTCTCCCTTTACTCTTCTATCTTCCAGGGACATGAGGTTTTGCTCCCGTAGCCTTTCCTTGTAGCTCATACCTCTCAATTATTGGACTAGTCTGGTGACATACCTCTGTATCTTCTCTAACTTTGTCTTGTGTGTAACTAAATATGGACTCCAGGTTGGAGCAGCATACTCCAGGTTTGGTCTTACATAAGTGGTATACAGGGTCCTGAAAGATTCCTTACTCAAGTTTCTAAAGGCAGTTCTTATGTTGGCCAGTCTAGCATATGCCGCTGATGATATTCTTTTTAGTGTGTAACGATTAATGTAGTGATTGGTGTGTGTGTGTGTAGTGGTTGATTTGTGCACTCACCTAGTTGTACTCACCAAGCTGTTCTTGCAGGGTTTAAGGTCTGGCTCTTTGGTCCCGCCTCTCAACTGTGAATCAACTGGTTTACAGATTATAGAGCCTACTGTACTCTATCATATAAACATTTGAAACTGTGAATGGAATCCGACTACCCCACATCACTGCCTAATGTATTCCATCTGTTAGCTACTATGACTGAAAAAAGTTCTTTCTAACGTCTCTGTGGCTCTTTTACATACTCAGTTTCCACCTGTTTTCCCCTTGTTTGCATACCCCCCATATTAAACAATTTATCTTTAACTACCGTGTCGATTCCTCTTAGAATTTTGTAGGTAGTGATCATGTCTATCCGAGCTTTCATGTCTCCCAGCGTTGTGAGGTGCTTTTCACACAGCGTTTGAGGTGCTTTTCATGCAGTCTGTGACGTAAAACAAGACGCTTCCATTATTACACCTTGATCCTAATATATCTAATATATATATATATGTATATATATATATATATATATATATATATATATATATATATATATATATATATATATATATATATATATATATATATATATATATATATATATATATATATATATATGTCGTACCTAGTAGAAAGAACGTACTTCTCTGCCTACTATGCAAGGCCCGATTTGCCTAATAAGCCAGGTTTTCATGAATTAATTGTTTTTCGACTACCTAACCTACCTAACCTAACCTAACCTAACCTTTTCGGCTACCTAACCTAACCTAATCTATAAAGATAGGGTAGGTTAGGTTAGGTAGGGTTGGTTAGGTTCGGTCATATATCTACGTTAATTTTAATTCCAATAAAAAAATATTGACCTCATACATAATGAAATGGGTAGCTTTATCATTTCATAAAAAAAAAAATTGAGAAAATATATTAATTCAGGAAAACTTGGCTTATTAGGCAAATCGGGCCTTGCATAGTAGGCCGAGAAGTGCGTTCTGGCTACTAGGTACGACATATATATATATCGTACCTAGTAGCCAGAACGTCGTACTGGGCCTACTATGCAAGGCCCGATTTGCCTAATAAGCCACGTTTTCCTGAATTAATATATTTTCTATAATTTTTTTCTTATGAAATGATAAAGCTACATATTTCATTATGTATGAGGTCATTTTTTTTATTGGAGTTAAAATTAACGTAGACATATGACCGAACCTAACCAACCCTACCTAACCTAACCTAACCTATCTTTATAGGTTAGATAGCCGAAAAAGTAAGATTAGGTTAGGTTAGGTAGGTTAGGTAGTCGAAAAACAATTAATTCATGAAAACTTGGCTTATTAGGCAAATTGGGCCTTGCATAGTAGGCTGAGAAGTGCGTTCTGGCTACAAGATACAAGATACATAAATATATATATATATATATATATATATATATATATATATATATATATATATATATATATATATATATATATATATATATGTCGTACCTAGTAGCCAGAATGCAATTCTCAGCCTACTATGCAAGGCCCGATTTGCCTAATAAGCCAAGTTTTCATGAATTAATTGTTTTTCGACTACCTAACGTACCTAACCTAACCTAACCTATCTTTTTCTGCTACCTAACCTAACCTAACCTATAATCACTCCTTAATCCTTACCATTCCTTAATATAACCATTCCTTAATCACTCACGTGGCCCCACAATATGAGGTGATTAAATTAAATATCTATGCCCAAGCTTAACACCAAGTGCTGTCGGGTCGAGTTGTTAAGGAACCATGTACGCCATGTTGTATAGTGCTCCTGGCTGTCTGGGTTGGAATCCTTCTGGAGTGTGGAGTTTTCAGTTGCATATTAGCTTGGGGACCATTAAGGCTTGTTCTCATATACATATGAGAACATATGTATATGTATGTATATACATATATATATAATATATATATATATATATATATATATATATATATATATATATATATATATATATATATTTGCAAGAAGATTACAAATTCTTGAGGCAATTCACATATATATATATATATATATATATATATATATATATATATATATATATATATATATATATATATATATATGTATATTAGTATATTTTGGTAGCAGTCTTTCCTGTAGACATATATTATTAAATATGACCGAAAAAGTAATATTAATAATTCTAACACAAATTTTCCCGATCTTTCTTATGTTTCTTCTCACTGTTGATGGTAATTGAAAAATCAATTCTCCAAAATTCATTTTTATTTCTTGTCTGAAGCGACACTTGAACGCGTTTCGTAATAACTTATTACATTTTCAAAGACTTATAGTTTACACAGACACAACTATAACCTGCAAACACTAAACAGAGTTCTTACTTATGCTATGATTTAAACAGCTTTAATTTTTCAATTTATACCCGCATTTTGGGTGAGGTGATATGTTACGACAGTTTTGGGTGAGTTGAACAAAACTTTCAACACAGGACAGAACACGAAACAATGGGTATTGAAGGTAAGAATAGAAGTAATTGCAGAGGGCTTATTGGCCCATATTTCTTGATGCTTCTATATTGGAGCGGAGTCTTGAAGTGGGTAGAATATAGTAGTGCATTAATTGGCTGTTGATTGCTGGTGTTGACTTCTTGATGTGTAGTGCCTCGCAGATGTCAAGCCGCCTGCTATCGCTGTATCTATCGATGATTTCTGTGTTGTTTGCTAAGATTTCTCTGGTGATGGTTTGGTTGTGGGAAGAGATTATATGTTCCTTAATGGAGCCCTGTTGCTTATGCATCGTTAATCGCCTGGAAAGAGATGTTGTTGTCTTGCATATATAGAGAGTTTTTTGAGGCTTACAGTCCCCAAGAGGGCATTTGAAGGCATAGATGACGTTGGTCTCTTTTAAAGCGTTCTGCTTTGTGTCTGGAGAGTTTCTCATGAGTAGGCTGGCCGTTTTTTTGGTTTTATAGTAAATCGTCAGTTGTATCTTCTGATTTTTGTCTGTAGGGATAACGTTTCTATTAACAATATCTTTCAGGACCCTTTCCTCCGTTTTATGAGCTGTGGAAAAGAAGTTCCTGTAAAATAGTCTAATAGGGGGTATAGGTGTTGTGTTAGTTGTCTCTTCAGAGGTTGCATGGCGTTTCACTTTCCTTCTTATGATGTCTTCAACGAAACCAATGGAGAAGCCGTTGTTGACTAGGACCTGCCTTACCCTACAGAGTTCTTCGTCGACTTGCTTCCATCCTGAGCTGTGGCTGAGAGCACGGTCGCCATAAGCGTTAACAACACTCCTCTTGTACCTGTCTGGGCAGTCACTGTTGGCATTTAGGCACATTCCTATGTTTGTTTCCTTAGTGTAGACTGCAGTGTGGAAACCTCCGCTTCTTTCCATGACTGTTGCATCTAGAAAGGGCTGCTTCCCATCCTTCTCCATCTCGTAAGTGAAACGCAACACAGAATTCTGCTCAAAAACCTCCTTCAACTCCTGCACATGTCTGACATCAGGTACCTGTGTAAAAAATGTCGTCAACATTCCTGCAGTATATGGCCGGTTTCAAGTTCATGTCAACTAAGACTTTTTGCTTGATGGTACCTATGTAGAATTTCGCAAACAGGACACCTAGGGGAGAACCCATGGCGACCCCATCTACTTGCTTATACATGTGCCCATCCGTGCTCAAGAAGGGTGCCTCTTTAGTACAAACTTGGAGTAGTTTCCTTAGAATGTTTTCTGGTATGTCAAGAGGAGTACAGGCCAGATCACGATACACTCTGTCCGCTATCATCCTGATTGTTTCATCCACAGGTACGTTGGTAAACAGTGATTCTACGTCCAACAAGGCTCTTATCTCTGTGGCCCGTATTTCCCGCAGTAAGTCAACAAATTCCTTTGGAGACTTCAGGCCGAAGGCGCAAGGGACATAAGGAGTCAGCAAGCC